GGTTCAGGGTTTAGGATTTGGGGCTTGGTGTTCAGGGTTTAGGGTTTGGGGTTCAGGGTTTAGGATTTGGGGCTTGGGGTTCAGGGTTTAGGGTTTGGGGTTCAGGGTTTAGGATCTGGCGCGTAGGCTTCAGGGTTTAGGGTTTGGGGTTCAGGGTTTAGGGTTTGGGGTTCAGGGTTTCGGATTTGGGGCTTGGGGTTCAAGGTTTAATTAGGGTTTGGGGTTCAGGGTTTAGGGTTTGGGTTTGGGGTTTAGGATTTGGGGGTTTAGGGTTTGGGGTTCAGGGTTTCGGGTTTGGGGTTCATTCAGGGTTTAGGATTTAGGGTCTGGGGTTTAGAGTTCAGAGTTTTGGGCTTAGGGTAAAGGGCCTTCGTGATACAGCATGTACCCAGAGAGCTCAATACCCCTTAATCAAGTACTGGTCCAGGGATAAGCAGGGGTCTAATTTATACGATTGAAGGTATTTTCCTTCATTGGGGGGGGTACTCGCCTCTCTGGGTAGCACACTTGTTTGAATGTTTCGACGGTTTAGGGTTTAGGGTTTAGGGCTGCAGCTTTGTGACAAAGACGTTAGCGAAAGCACCACGAGGAATAGTCGACGCACAGAGGCCTGAATGGTTAGTCACTGCATCCCCTTATCGTCCCTACATGGTGATACTTTAGTATACCCCGAAATGATATTCCATTCATGAAGCACCCCATAAGCCATAGCGCCCATTATTCAAGCTCCTACCTTGTCTCTTTCCGCCGTCCAGTTGGCTCAAACTGCGGCCCACAAACCCCAAACTCCAGATCCTAAACCCAAAACCCTAAATGCCAAACCCAAAACCCTAAATCCTAAACCCAAAACCCTAAATGCCAAACCCAAAACCCTAAATCCTAAACACAAAATCCTAAATGCCAAAAACCCAAAACCCTAAATCCTAATTGCCAAAAACCCAAAACCCTAAATCCTAAACCCAAAACCCAAACCCAAAACCCTAAATCCTAAACCCAAAATCCTAAATGCCAAAAACCCAAAACTCCAGATCCTAGACCCAAAAACCCAAAATGCCAAACCCTCCCACTGTGGCTCCGACCTTGCTAAAAAACCTCGCAGGATCATGCCTGGGCTTTCCAGAGAGCCCAATATCAATACCCCTTAACTGAGGAAGATAGCTTAAACAATCCTACTTCGACTTAAAGGGCTTAACATTTGTTTGGGCCAGGGTACTCCCCAGAGAGCCCAATACTCCTTGAATGTGGAGTATAGCTTCAACCAGATATTAAGGCCCCTATAAGTTAAAGGTATATACCATAAACCATAATATTAAAGGCCCTATCATTTAAGGAATATACCTTAAGCCATAATGTTAAGGTCCCGATAATTTAAGGTATATGTTGGCGTTGGGGAGGCTGGGCCTAGAAGACCTTTGAGCTAAGGGTGAGGCTTTACGTAAATCACCGAAACCCGAAGAGGTTTTAGGGTTTAGGGTTTAGGGTTTGGGGACCCCAAACCCGAATTCTTTAGGCATTAGGCTTTAGGGCTGAGGGGTATTACCCAATGAATCCGAGCTGCAGCGAGGTGTTGTAACTCTTGTAGTAATCCAGTGCTAGCCCAGACGTGTAGTAGGCCTCATCACGGCCGGGCCCTTTCACGTAAAGTGTGTCCGAGCCGATGTACCTAGTCCATGGCTGGGATCGCATTAGAAGGTTTAGGATTTAGGATTTAGGGTTTAGGGTTTAGGGTAAGTTTCGATTCTTTCTTGGGCTTAAGTACCCATAAGAATGTAAAATGTTGCCCAACCATGACAGAGGTACCCCATGGAGCCTAAACTTCTGGCGGCCAGGTTGGGATGCGTCCGCTCAAAGTTCGCGAGCTCACCCGGTAATCCTGCTAACCAGGTGTCCATAGCAACATGGCTGCGCCTCTGCCTGAGTCTAGGATTTAGGCTTTAGGGCTCAGGGTTTAGAGGGATGCTTTTCTATGGCCCCCTCAAGTGCGAGGACGCCCAAACCAAAAAAAAAACAGAACCTTCCGTTGACCAAGGTACCTTTCTAAGCAGTCGAAGGAAACACAGCCGGCAAGCTGCAACGCGCTTTCAACCGATCCCGTCGTTTTCACGGCGTTGATTTCCACATGGTAGCCCAGGACCTTTTGGGGTTTCTCGACTAGGGGGATCCTAGGATTCGGGGTCGATATTAAGGCTTTAGGGTTTAGAGTTTAGGGCTTAGGGTTTAGGGTTTAGGGCTTAGGGATTAGGGTTTAGGGCTTAGGAATTAAGGTTTAGGGTTTAGGGTTTTTTTTTAGGGTTTAGGGTTCAGGAGTCGGCAATCCTCGCAAAACCGTTAAAGCCCGCAGCAAAGGGCTCTCAAAGCCCCTGAGACCAGCACCTCTGACAGCAGGATAGCCGTCAGCTCTGTGGCAACCTCGTGGGAGTTTGGGATTAAGGTTTAGGGTTTAGGGTTTAGGGTTTAGGGTTTAGGGGACCCTTGGGGATATAGACCCTCTCAATAAGGTCCCTTTTAAGAGAGCCAAAAGTAGGGTTCAGAAAGGGTACCCTTTAAGGGGTACCCCTAATAATACTAGCTACCTCGGCAGAGGGCCAGTCGTAAACTACCATCCTCAGTGCCGTGGCATTGACTCCATCAGGGCCGTCCACGGGCTCCTGAAGATACCTGGGCTCTTGTGCAAGAATTCTAAGACTCCAAAACATCGGGCCAGGGACACGTACTAGGCAAACATGCTTTCATTATTGCGGTGACTGAAACACAAACTCCTCAACGAAGACCCAGGCACCTCCTGCTGCTTGCGAGGATGCCATGAGGCAAGCAAAGCTCTGCAGAAACCAGCGACACAGCGTTCAGGAACAGCACAGCCCATGGACGTGCATCCATTGCTTTGTAAAGATGCGAGAAAATCCAGAAGAGGCCGCGCTTCTAGAAAATGCGGAAGGCTGCTACTACTTGGAGGTTCATGGGGGAGTTATAAGTGGGTTTGTAAGCAAGGCAATTAAGTACCGCACTAGGACCATGATTCCTGCTATCTTGGCAACATATCCTAAGCCGAAAGCTTTGGGCTGAAGTAGCCAAGCTCTTCCACTCTCCTCCTTAGCTGGGCTAGTAGTATACGTGGCCCTATCATTTTAAATGGGGTTTTGGGTACATTATTGTATCATCATGTTAAGGAACCGCAAAAAACCCTAAACCCTAAACATAGCAGTACAAATTCAGGCCCGTATGTTACTGCTCTTGCCCCATCATTTCGAAGCGGTTGTGGTTCTGCTACAAGCTCGAGCGCAGGAGAAAGGGCAGCTTTCAACGCGCTGCCGATGAAGAAGGGTGGGTGTTGGGGTTTAAGGTTTAGGTGTTAGGCTTTCGAGTTTCTGTTTAAGATTTAAGGCTTTGCTTTGGGGCTTCGGGTTTAGGTTTAGGGTTTTTACAAAGAGGTCAAGGGCCCCTTAAGAAAGGAAGATACCTGAAATAGCGGCAGCTAGTTAATACTATGGTTTAGAGTCTATATAAGCAATATACCTTAACCCATTATATTAAGGGCCCGCATAATGTACGGCATCTTCCTAAGGGCTCTCTGTGTCGAGGGGCACACCCTTGTTGGTCAGCAAGGGTTGAGGGTTGACTGGACTGAACTAAGTACCCTTGCCAGAGTTGTAGTTTTATCTGTGTCTTCGGGGTTATATCCACCAAGAATCAAAAACTGTTTCCAAGCGCCCTAAACCCTAAACCCTAAACCCTAAACCCTAAACCCTAAACCCTAAACCCTATGGTTTAGGGTTCACGATGTAGAGACCTTCGGCAGCTGCTCCAATGTCCAAAGTCTACCTGAACCCTACTTTCAAAGTCCTGCACCCTAAACCCGCAACCGACGGTTTAGGGTTTAGGCTTAGGGTTTAGGGTTTAGGGTTTAGGGTTTAGGGTTTAGGGTTTAGGGTTTAGGGTGTAGGGTTCTGCGCTCTAAGCCCGCAACCGTAAATCGCACGGTCTAAACGCCGAACCCTAAATCGGAAACACTAAACTCGGAACCCCCTTTTTGAAATCCCAAGCCGTAAATCCTAAACTCTCAATTTCTGAATCTAAACCTGAAATCCTGAACCATTCACCCCCATCCAAAAAACTTGAATCCTGACCCCGAAAACTTCTTGAGTTCGCTTCCAGCTGGCGTCCACAAGGCGCGCATCAAACTTCAAATCATCTTTTCGTTCTGCATGCATCGCCTATGATAGGCTTGTACGTTAAGTGCGGCCCACCCTGTACACCGTAACAGTATAATGTTGAGGAGCATTCGCGGATCTAAATATCTATACCATGATAACTATCCAGCTGATACTGAGTGCGGGCAGCTTTCAACATGTGAGGGCATTGAAGCCCGCATGCCCAGCTGGCCCTAGTCTAGATACCTCTTCAAGTCAACCCGACGAAGCTGCATGGGTTCAGGGACGTCCTAAGCAGCAAAAGTCGGCTTTCAAGATTTGCGATTGAAGGGCGAGTTGGAAGACTATGCCCATTCAAAACTCGCCGGGAAGCATAGGGATGCTCGCAAAAAGCACCACCTGCACCCAAGACCTTGCGGACTTGATGCACACAAGACCCTGGTTGAGGGGGCACAGCAAAAACCACGTTTGGGAGATGTACTGTGCCCTCGAGGAACCGTCCTGAACCGCTCCTGCCTACGAGCCAACCCGTAGCAGGTCAACATAACATGAGCTGTAGTTCAAACCCCTGAAGCCTGAAAGGCTCGAATCGTAAACACTATACAGCCTATAGTAGGTAACATATAAGATCCCCTAAATCCCACTCTTTTCAAAGAACATAACTGCTTGCGGTTCTACTGCCAAAACTGTGCATGCGCAGCTAGTCATTCATCGGACGACCTGGGGGAATCTTCTGTCAAGAGCATAGGATTTGGGGATAGGCGTCCATGAATAACAGCTCAGCTGTGGCATCAAACTTGCATTTGTTACAACGATGTCGCAATCTGAAAGACGTGTTGGGTGTTTGCATTGTCATGGAATATCTGTCTGGGCCGGCGCTGTCTCATTGCCGTCTTGCGCTTGGAGGTCGGGCTCCCCTGCACTGTCAACGCTTGGAAGCTCTACAGGCTTCTCAGCCTGGGGTCGCTCCTGGCGCTCGCGCATCAACTCGGAGACGAATTTGAAGCCTACGCCCAAGCAAATGCCGCCCGCTAGCATGGCGATGCTCATCAGAAGCACCCACTGCATCCAAGCACTGCGGCCCCAGTGAGCCTCATTCGATAAGAGGCAACTTGTGAGAGACGTCATGATGCTGGCCGTCACGAGAAGTCCAACTTCTGCGCCGTTCCATTTCAGGTCCATGTATGGCAGAAGCCAGGCATAGAGCACCAGCGATGTCAGCAGCACGCAGCTCACACTCGCCATCTGCGATGCTGGTGCATACGTCACCGGGAGCATTTGAGAAAACAATTTTAGCAGCGTTTTCCGAAGCAAGCGTTCTGTTTCCCAAAACTTATACTTGTCCTTGTATGCACGTGTGACGAAAATCACGTGGCTTGGTGGCAGCTCGTCTGCAGTTGCCGGATTGTGTCGTGAGAGCCACAGCCATAGACGCACAACTAGGAAAAGAAGGGTGCCAGTCAGGCCTACTGCACAAACAACTGCAACGCCTCCTAAGGCGCCTGCAGGCATAAAGGGACAAGTTAGGCCGTAGATGCTGTTTATGCCCTCCTCTTCCAAACGGTAGCAAACAAGATACTTGCCAAATGAAGCAAGGAAGTCTGGGAAGAAGCAATTGATGCCGATCAAAAGGGAAAGCTTGCCACTTTTCATAACGGCTAATGCTGCCACCAACAGCACCGGCATAAGTATGTTCAGCAGCTGTGCCTTCCACAGATCCGGAGCCAAACCCAGGCTCGCCACAGTGCATAATGAAGAGTGGCTCACCCCGCTGCTAGAGCCTGAACTGAGGTCCACTAAATTTTCTGCGAAGTTGGTGACAAGCGTGTCTATAGTTCCGGTTGCCGATGCAGTCTGCATAGCGGCGGTCAGAATGGTTGCAGCAACTGTGCCAAAGGACATAAGCTGGTTGAGGAGGACGCCGCTGAACTTCACTTCCTGCTTCGCGCTGAGGGCGCTAAAAGCGGCCAGGCCGAAAATGGCGCAGCTCTTACCGACCATAAGCAGCAATTGCTTGCCTAGGCCTGCTGACGAAGCATCACATTTACTGCAAACCAGCACGCTGCCATCGGACCGGAAATATTCCTCCTCAAAGACAAGTTTACGGCTTCTCCCGGAAAATCCGTATACATAAATAGTATACAGCTATGGTTCCTAGAGAGCCTGCTTGGATACTTCTTGAGTATTCCGACCCTTTGGGTCTTGGCATGCCAGGAGTTCTGAAGTGCCTTAGGAGGTTTAGGGTTAAGGTGCTTTAGAGATCCAGCTTTAGGAGTTTAGGGCCTAAGCCTGGCATTCCACACCAGTCATGCTTCACTCAAATCATAAGCTAAGCAACTCTGACTACTAAACCACCTAGACCCTGATCCTTAAACCTCTTCCCACAGCTTCGTTCCAAACATATGAAGCCCTTAGACCCTTACTGGCGCTGCAGACCCCCACTTGATCAGACTCTCAGCTGAAAGGCTACTTTCAAGGCACTAATTCGCCTCGCAGTCTGCACATCCAGGACCTTGATGGCCTAGCAGGCACAAGGGCCCCTCCACATCTCCCCCAGGGCACGCGGAGGGGTTCCTGGACTGCAACATAAGGTTTGGGGTTTGGCTTGGGTCCATGTACCCAACAATTAGGTAGGTTTCGGGGAAGTGTATGAGCATTAGGACACCCGGCTTCAACTCGTTTTTGGAGGCCCCCCCGCCTCACTTCATAAATTATGTCCTTGGGGGTTAGGTCAATGACGCAAGTCTTGTCTCACACCAGCGCAAAATAAAAATGTGGAATTGCGAGATGGACAAAGCCTTACGCCTTACACCCGATGACAGAACATAGCTGCGTCAAGACCCCTGCTGTATTTGGCTGCAGGTTCAGAGCTTTCCTGAAGTTTGGGGCTTAGGGTTCATGGCCGGGTTGATGGAAAGATCTCAGCATGCTGCGTGAGGAACCCGTTGTTACGCCGGCCCCTGAGGCAGATTATGCAGGACCGTGGTGGTCAAGGCCTACTGAGAGCGCCACAGTCTACATGCCTGCGCTCTTTTGAGTAATGTTATTAAAATCCAGCTTCTGTTCCTCCTGCAAAACTTTGCAGAAAAGATCCCGACTAACATGACATGTTACTTCCTGCTGAAGCCCCAGAATCTGCCACATCGAAGATACAAGTCAATTGCTGCACAGAGTCGGGCAATAGAGGCTGTGACTGATGTTCGTCAGGCTCACCATGGTCCCTGCCCGCAAGACCAAGCTGTTCACCTGGCCGCTTCTGCACTCTAAACCCTAAATCTTACCTTTGGTTAGTAGGGAATGGAGGAATGGGGTACAATTATCACAAGTATTACTACCACTCTTCCATTCCCTACTAACCAAAGGTCAGAAATCCTGCCCCCCAAACCCTGAGCCCTGATTGAGCCGTAAAGCCCAAAAAACACACCCTAAACCATGAACCAAAAACCCCTGAACCATCAACCCCAAACTGCAAACCCCTGAGGCATCAACTGCAAGGGCCCAGGGCGGGCCGAAGACCGAGTTCCACGTCTGCTGCTTCTGTTGAGCTTCTAGATGATCATACGGAATCAACCCTAAATCCTGATAACCCCAAAACCTGAATCAACCCCTAGCCCAAAACAACGCTAAACTCTGATAAGTACACTTCCAAAACCTCAATAAACCTTTACGCTAATCAACCCTGATTCGCAATAAACCCCAATGAGCCCCAAACCCCAGTACACCCCGCACCCTGATCAACCCTAAACCCCAATAACCCTAGACCCCAATATCGACCCCTTACACCCTGAACTCTCAACCTATCCCCCAACCCCAGTAGACCGTAACCATAAACCCTAACACATTCTAATCTCGAACGAACCCGAAACCCCAACAAACCCTAAACCCAAACCCTCTTAAGCTACTGGTGCTTAAGGGGGAGTGGGGAGTGGATCCTTATGATGATCCCCATACAACCTCCATATAGTCTTCCAACCTACCGATATGCATTCCCCCACTACCCCTTAAGCACCCGCAAGAACAACCTAAGCCCTAAACCCTTACATCCTAAAATCTATAAGCCTTGTAAACTCCATAAATTCGATATTGAACCAGTCCAGGCCTCGCATTGCTGAGCGCCTGTCGGGCATGCCATGCAGGTCTCATTCCACCGCACCATGCCTTCCAGGCACCTGCACCGGCTAATGAAGGGTTTGGGGCTTTGGGGCTTTGGGTTTCTAGGGAGTTTAGGGTTAGGGTCTAGGCTTAGTTTTCTTCCTCCCTTATTATGGCGGCATTATGCAAATCCGGTACGCAGGTTGTGCGGTTGGACTTAAAGGGCCCCGCGGACATGTTGGAGTTTTAAGGGGACTATAGGGTCTCTGTCGGGTCACAAGCAGAATTCCCTGAGAGACTGCCGAGTACCAAAGCAATCACAACGCTAACCATGGCCTTCAACCTTGCAAACATCGGTGTTGAACATGGCCCGTAAACCCCTACACCCGTAAACCCCTAAAGCGAAGCCCTAACCCAAAAAGACTAAACCCAAAAAACCCTCAAGCTCTGGGCCACGAAACCGTAAGCCGTAAACCCTGCCTCTCGCAGGAAATAGACCCGTGTCCAGAGGCGCGGCCACTTGTCATGGAGCATTGGATTTCAGACATGGGCGGCAAGGTTTTGGCCTTGAATTTGCATTCTGCCAACCTGCTGCAATCCAAGGCCTCGTGTGCCAGGAGTCTTCCAGCCTCCACCTGGGGGAAGTATTAAGTTTTTGGGGTCCTTGTGCTAGGGAATACAGTAGATCAGAGGGTAGAGGGACCGGGATTTTTCACAACTATCACCTCAAACATGTCTTGGAAACTGCTGGTGCTTACGTTCATCTGGCTAATGGTCAGCGTGTCTGCTGTGCTCAAAGCGAGAGGTCCTACGTCAATAAACTCCACCGTTCGAAGCAACTCCAGGTTCTTCCGAGCATCGAGTCCGGCGCTGCCAGCAACATCCCTGCGTGTCTCAGAAATAGAGCAGTGCTCGAAAAGCATTGGTACCGCGATCTTACCAGCTGTCCACAGCATCAAGCCTCCACCTGAAAAAGCAGCCTGGCATTTGCGGAAGTCAGCTTTGCCAAATCCATCAAACTCAACATTTTGCGCAGCTGCTCCCCCACCGTTGCGGCCTGCTTTGCAGTCCAAGAAGGACACCTGGGCGAAATCAGGCATATGTGTTTCCTGGAGCCCTGACAAGCAAGATAACCAAGAGCAAAACATTCCAAAAGCGCATTAACAAACAACCTGGAAACATTGGCATCTTTACCTGTCCAGCTTCCATGCACGTGAAGTCCTCCACCATCTCCAAATTCTGCACGGCATCTCTCGAATTTCATGATCTCCGAAACAGTATCGAGACCGTGCAAAGATACACAACCGCCTCGGCCCCTTGCATTGCAATCTTGGAACTCCATCTCCGATGCGCTGCTGCTTACCCGGCTCGCGATGAAAATTCCTCCGCCATTGCGCCCAGCAGTGCATTTCTGAACCTTCATCGTAGTGCCACGACTTTCTATAGCCCCAAAGGCGGCACAACCACCATCTGCAGCGGATGTACATGAGCTGAAGACTGCCGTAGCACCACGTGTTTTCCAGGCACCGCTGACGTTCAAACCCCCGCCGGCCCCCGCTCGGGCATCGCATCTTTGAAAACTGACGTTCACGTCCAAGAAATCCACACTTCCAGCGGCAGCACCCCCACCGGAGCCCTGGGCGACGCAACCATCAACGGAGATGGCCGTGCTTCTGGCAAAGATCAAGTCCTTGACAAAGAGTCCTCCCCCGTCTCCCGCTTCCGCATGACAGTTTCTGACGTCCAACCTGCCTCCCTGCATGGTAACAGACGAAGTCCTGCCTGCACAGGTGTAGGAACCTATAGCACCACCAGACCCATCTGACAAGCACCCGCTCATGTGTACAACCGCGTGGTCCAGTTCGAGCATGTCGCAAAATGCGATAGCCCCGCCTGTAAACTGATTTGGCTTGACCTTTCCACCCTGCTCTGCTCTGCACTTGCTAAACTCCAGCCTCGTCTGCCTCAGGAGAAAGCCACCTCCTGCGAGGCAGCCTCCATCTGGTGCGTGGCATTGCGAGAAGGTTGCCACACCACCGGTCCATTGCAGCAGGCCACTTGAACAAAATATGTTTTCTTCTCCTGCATACAACCCTCCTCCCGCACGCGTGGCTGTGCATGAGCGGAATGCAATGGTGCCATTCGAATCGACATGTGCTCCGATCTGACCGGGAATGCTTGACAGCAGGAACAAACCTCCTCCTGCAGTAGCCTGACACTCCTCAAATGTCAAGCTGCCTCCCAACTGCTCCAGGCCCTTCTCCAAGAAAAGGCCGCCGCCGGTTACGCCGATGCATCTTCTAAACACAACTTGGCCACCCCGCTGCACCAGCCTGGTTGCAGAGACAGCCCCAGGGCCGTTCTCACTGAAGCACCCATCGAACTCAATGATACCAGACTCGATAATCAAGTCTCCGACGACAGTCAGGCAAGGACGAGGCATTCTTCCCCTCCCTTTGAATACAATTTTTCCCATCAGCCGCAAGTTCCCAGAAAACTCAAGAGGCTGATTGACTGCCATCTCCAAAGCATGTTGGGCAGCATGTTTCGGTGAACCCAACAGAACAGAACTGCTCACGGTGCATTCTTCAGACTTGTAAAACCACCCATCCGTAATCACCTTGGTGGGTTGCCCGCCCACTTCTTTCTGACTACAGAGCTCTGGCCAACTTATGAAGTCCATGACATCATCATATCTCGCAACCATTTCCTCCCTTGATTTCTTCAGCTCCTTCTGCGCGTGAACACTTGCTTTCTCACACATCTCGAGACGCCCCCGGTAAGCAGCGAGTTCGGTTTGGCAGCTACCGCAGCCTCTTCTTCCAGCCGGTGTGAACCAATCAAGTCTCAAAGGCTCAGGCGCGCCTGGGTTGCACAGTAGCCAAGCCGGAACAGCTAGCGACTGATTTAAATCAATTCCTCTTGACAGGGCTCTTGGCACGCCAGTAAACCCGTGTCGAAGCTGGATATTAATATTCAGTCACAACATCCAACCGCCATGCAAACACCAATGCTACGCAGCATAACGCTGGCCCTGCTGTTTTTTGGGTACGGTCTTAAATGTCTTCTTGCTGGCGAATTAATTCAAGATCTGGCAAGTGTTTAGGGGTCCGCTATCATGGCAAGTTCTGCAGGCCAAGGAAAAAACTTTGAACATCCAAACATTCAAAATCTATTCCTAAGGCTCTCCGAACTAATCACACCAGCGGTCGTAAGGGGTAATAGGCCCTGAACTCCCACTATTCCCTTGTGGCTTTAAGTTGGGGCTGTGTTTGAACAACCCTATACCTTTTCTTCATGCCAAACAGGAGTCATCGGTCTAATTTCTCCCTATTACTTTTCTGATCCTAAACCCTAAACCCTAAACCCTAAACCCTAAACCCTAAACCCTAAACCCTCCATTCTGGGACTCCTGGCGCTATTTGGACGATCGTTCAGACTTTACTACATTCTGAGGAAGGTGCAATGCAAGATCTATGCAAGAGCCGGGAAACCGAGAACTCCTGGTTTTTTAAAGCCCGAGAAAACCTTCAGCCATTGGAGTAACCATGTCCAAGCCACCTTCCAAATCCTCGTTCATGTCGCGGTCCCTGGCTGAGACGTCCCGAACCACCTGAGTCGTGTTCAGTATTACCCTATCCCAGACCACCGGGGGGGATCCAAGAAAAAAAACCTAAGGGGGTTCCTATAAAGTACCCTTTAGTAGTTGGGGTCCCTTATTAGGGAATCTACTTTTTAGATCCTCCCGCCCTGTGTTCCCGGACTCCCGCAGGACAAACTTACCTTCTTCTAGAAAATTTCCCATGCCTGGGTCCCTGTACCTTCTCACAGCGGAACCCAGATCATCTGCAACTACCCCGAGCTGCTGGAAACCTTTGAAGATGCAGGAACGGTTTCCACCGTGGCCACGAAACATTTGCATTCCAAACCCTAAAGGTCTAGATGCTTCACCAAAATACTGTACAATTTGGCAAACACCGTACAGGAACCATGTTGCCCACAGATGATATGCCTTTAGACCTTCGGGAAAGAAAAGCTTAACTTAACCTGAACCATCCCTAACCCCCAAACCCAAAGCCCTGCTCGCTGAACCCTAACCCCGAAACCCTGAACCGAAAACTCTAAGCCCTGAACCCTAAACCTCTTTTACCCATGTATATCTGAACGATAGTGCATCTTCCTGAATAAGGCAAGTTTTCCGTTTCCTGAATAAGGCAAGTTTTCCATTACAGGATCGGAACCACTAGGCATGTCCTGAAAAATGCCCGTTTCCTTTATATAGGATCGGAACCCCAAAGCATGTCCTGAAAAAGGCAAGCTTTTCCAAACAGGATCAGGAACCCCCCCCCCCCCTCCCCCCATGCATTTCCTGAAAAAGGCAAGTTTTCCGGCGAACCCCAAGGCAGTTCCTGAATGATGCATGTCTTCAGGATCGGAACCCCCCCAATGCATTTCCTGAAAAAGGCAAGTTTTCCGGCGAACCCCAGGGAGGTTTCTGAATGATGCATGTTTTCTTCAGGATCGGAATCCCCCCCCCCCCCTTTCCCCGTGCATGTCTTGAATAATGCAAGTTTTCCGGCGACCCCCAAGGCAGTTCCTGAATAAGGCAGGCAAGTTTTCCCTGACATGAACGGAACCCCAAGGCATTTCCTGAATAGGGCAAGTTCGTCCGGCGCTACTTTTGGGGGGGCCATTTTTTGGTAGGTTTTAGAGCCCCGCACACAACAGTGGGAGTACATGGATGGTTTGTTCGAGCCTGCGACCTTGATAGCAGAGCTCAGCCTCGTTCAAGAAACTGTCATGGTGTCGCTGTGGTTGCTCTCATACAACGATGTCGTACTCGACACTCTTTCTTTGTGGTAATGATCTCCCTTGTATGATGCTATGCAGTTTTTGGTTCAGATCTCACGATTCTGGGTCTGTCATGCCTTTAAAGCGTTGGCGTTTTCAGTGTCAAATTCTTGTGCAATGGGACCGTTCAAGACAAATAGTCTGTTATACCTAGCGGCGTGAATGCATAACGGAACCGGTTGAAGTTTAAATGAGAGATTCATTGAACTGTTCAACTAAATATGTAGTTCAAAGGCTCAAAGAAAGTTGGTGACTTAAAACTCGTAGTGTAAAGGAAAGTAGAATGTGTTGCTAATGTTATGGGATTCTGTGGGTGGGTGGGCGTTACACCCAAACCGTATATACAACTTTACTGTAACACTTTACGGACCTGAGCTGCTGAACCCATCTGAACCCTAAACCCTAAACCCTAAACCCTGAACCCTAAACCCTAAACCCTGCCTTTGGGCTTGAATCTGGCAGTTTGGCTGGCCCTGAGGCCTCAACCCTGGCAGCTTGACCAACCCAGAGGGTCCAACATGCCCAGGGGTTTAGGGTTCAGGGTTTCATAGGGCTTTTTCGGTTCAGGGACCTCATAGAGCTCGTAGGATTTAGGGTTTAAGTTTAAGAAGGCTTATAGGAGTTAAGGTTTGTATGTCTCGTAGGGTTCAGGGTCGTTCCGTCCAGGCACTCATGGTTTCGGAATAGGGCAAACTTTTTTACCCAAATAGAGTGACAGATATGGTACGGGATAGAGCGAACCTTTGTCCTGTGTAAGGAATGATAATGAAAACAATGCAAAACAGAATAATGAAAACCTAAGTCGATCCTGGCTAATGGGAAGTCGACGGACAGGGCCCGTGAACCCCCCAAGCACCTTTGCAAACTTGAAATGAAGGACGAGGAGGGGTTTCATAATCATGGAGTTACTAAGATGAAAAGGAAGCCCAAAAACACAAGAGTCTAAGGCCTAGCTAAGTGCCGAGGCATACCTCCTTAAACCATGATTGGAGAGGTTCATATTGTCAAAAATGGCAGTCCATAAATAGAAGATACTGAGTCCCCATGAGTCCGCCCTATTCTCAACAACAAAGCAAACCCTGCATTCCCGGGTCTCCAACACAGGCTTACAATGTCAAGTCATCAACAGCAAGCGAGCTGCTTCCAGGCTCCCGTCTTCTTCGCTCATCATGCTCTCAAGCGGGTAATCCGCTGCCCCTCTGGCATCGATCACGAAGTGGCCCCTTGCCTGTCTTTGAGAAGTCATAGCCGTCGCCACGACGGCGTTTGGCCGCCTTGCTGTTGCTGTGCAGCTGCTGGAGAAGCAACACTGTTTCGGATGCATTGCTGTGTTTTCCGGCTTTGTGGTTCATGCTGTTTAATGAACTCTTCACTTGACACTTCAGGTCTTGGATTTGATGAAAGTGTGCGTTGCAATCGAGTTCCCTGCACTCTAGTAAGAACATTAAACGCTGGAACGCAAATGAAAGTGTGAGGTCCAGGCCCGCCTCGGCACGAAGAAGAGCCAGACCAAACATGTCACCAAGGCAGGCATTGGTGTGAGGGGCTGCTGCAAAGAAATTGTCAAACTACTGAATCTTGTGCCAAAAAGGCTCCACTCCTAAGCAGGAGGAGACTGAAAGCGGAAGCCAGATTGCCCAAGCAACAAGCGTAGAATCCGTTTGCACTCGGTCCTTTTCTGCACCGCGCCTCGACTCCAGTACTTGATTCGTAGGTCCATCAATCCGCAGGACCGGTTGAATACACTTAACGGATTCCCTCCACATCCTTGGGTGCTTTTGCCCTGAGGGTCCAAATACCTCCATAATCAGATAATTCGACTCACCTATACTACGGTTTTTGTACTATTACCCCAACCCCTAGTACTGGATAATTGGGCACTTGCACCCTGAGGATAAGTACACCTAACCTTTGTTGGCCAGGCATGCACATGACATCCATCTCGAAGAACCAGCCCGGCCGGATTCCAAGGCCTGGCAGTAGATGACTGCAAGATCGGTGTCACTATGACACTCAACACCTGCACGAATGAAATCTCACTTTTAGGTACACAACAGGAATATATGCACCACCCCCTCAAATGTCAAGGTTCAGGGTGTGTGTAAGGTCATGCCTAAGTGCCAAGGAGACCTTGGACAGATGTACACTTTTCTGGATTCTGATCGCGTTAGAAGCGAAAGCGTCCATGTATCCCTTTGCCGCAGCGTGGGGTTAGGGTTTTAATAAGGGCTGCCGTCTTGACAATCACGGCTTGGATCTGTCGGGGGCTAGTGTTGAAGTTTTACCTGAACCTTTTGGAGCCCAGAGTTTTATGGGCTCTATACTACAAGGACAGAGGACAAGACCAAAGGTTCGGTAATTACGCTCTAGGTAGGGTTTAGGATTTAGGGCGTATGGATTATATGAGTTATATAAGTTATATAGGGCTTGGGCTTAGACCGAAACCAGAGACCTTGAACCTCAACCACCTGAATCCTACACCTTACCCAGCCTAAACCCTTAAAACCCTGAACCAACAAACTCAACACAAACAAAAGGAAAAGCCACAAAGGACAATACAGCTGTTTGACAAAAATAAAGAACACGTAACAAAAACATAAAAACAGAACACTGCGAGCCCACGCGAGCCGCCGAACACGATCCCCTCGCACAGGCACTACGTGATCGAGACTTTTCCTACGACACCCTCAAGTGGCTGTTGGGTGGAGCCGGCCTCTCTGTGGTCAAGACTCAGCGAGGAGCCGCCCTAGGCGGGAGTGGGACGAAAGCGAACAACAACACCATGGCACCTACGGCATCACTACACGCACCGAAGACCACAGCACTATGACT